CCCCAAAACCCCAAAACCCCAAAACCCCAAAACCCCTCTAGACCTTTATGAAAATGAAATATATTAAAATGTCAATATATTCTAGCAGCCAAAAGGTACACAAATTGGTTTAATTATAGACTGGAAGGCACCCAAACCAAGAAAAGGAACTAGGTTTCTCATTTTCCTATAATACAACAAGCAATGACCTTAATTTCTCCAGAAAAAGCAAAGGCATCTTATAAGCACCGATGCCAAGCAGATTAAATCTAAAAAGTCAAATAAAAAGAATTTTGCTTTTGTCTTTAAAGGTATCCTAAATCATCAGTTTCCTAAAATTCTGCCATAAAAATTAGCAGTTGTTCTAGCAAAATAGGAAAAATCCAAGATCCAATTTAACATTTTCTGTCAAAAAGTTTTCAGTTTGGCTAAAACCAACCGTTTAGAGCTCCAAAATGGTTTTAAGGCAAAGAAACAAGGGAGGGAAAATCACAAGCACAGAAAGGATAACGATAAGATAGTACCCAAGAAAGGAATCATGAGAAAGATCAATTACTACATGACACCTTACATGAAAGATCTCACATTTAAATAAGTACATGGATTTCGAACACTCGAACCTGAGCGTTAACTGTGGCTATAAGTCTCAAAGCTGCTTCCGAAAGATAGAATTAAATAGAAAAGGCCAAAGGGTCATTAAGAATTATAAGCTAAATAACCTCTCCCCTGGTATGGTCCAAATTAAAGCATCTAGGATGGGTAAACCTTACCGATTTTATTCTTAACGAAAAATAAGGACATATTCCGAGCTTCAGTCAACTCTATCCACCAAAGAATGACTAAAGGGATTACCCAAGTCAAAAAGAAGTAAGCCAAAAGTAGTAAAATATCCCTAGCGATAAATAAAGATAACACAATGGTTGACTCCTCATCATCTAACTCTTCAAGTGTATCCTTCCGGCTACGGTCAGTTAAGAGAAGAAGCTCTATTAAGAAAATAGTACTTATCTCAATTTAACCATACTATAGAGACGGATTAGGAAGCTTAAATACAGAAGTAAGATGCTAGACCCATCTTTAAGGTAAATTTCATCCGCTATTGTCTAGACTGAGCCATTACCATACCAGAAATATTCAGAGACAAACTCTTCTCAACCTCCGAAGCTGATCAAACCAAAAGCTTAGCACTGGAGACCGGTTCAAAAGTTTCTTGGAAAAGTTGAATCAGAATAAAAAGTTTCATAATATTCCAATTCTGGAAGAGGCCAAAGAGAAAGAGTCTTCCAAAAGGCTCATTGAATTCATGTAAGCTTCAATATTTTTAGGAAATAAGATTAATAGGAGACAGGAAACAATGAAGAAGAAGAACCTATCTATCTCTGATCCACACTCAATATCTTCCCTAAATGAGTCTGATGAATACACTCCCAGACTTAAAGTGTCTTTACTCAAAGATTCTTGAGGTATTTTTGATTTCACTCTTCTAGAAAAATTAAAGAACCTCAATATAAGGCAGTTTTCTCCAATAGAAACCAGTACTGGAAATAACCACAGAGGTATGCAATTTGCTACTAACCATTCTTGTAGAAGAAAAAGACATTCAAGAAGTTTCACCAAGTCCGAAGTAATCTTATATTCTCAATTCTAGAGCTAGCAAAAATCTAAAGATGCTGGACTCCAAAATCACAGGTATTGACAAAAGGAGAAACGCAAGATTTGCCACCACTAACAACTCAGTGAATAAAGACCTTTGAATTCCCACTTGGAAAAACTCTGGTATCGGATTTCAACTTAAGAATATGAAAAGTGAATTAGGAAGTAACCTAGAAAAACCAGACCAAAGAAGTACAAAGCAGTCTACTTACTATACAAAAATGATTAAATCTCCGAAATTTACTAGATTTATCAAAATAACTAAGACAAAATCTACTGAAAAAGAATCTCTAGTTGATAAAATTTTAAAGAAAGACCACAAAATTCGTAATTTATCCCTCTAAATACAGAACAACGAATTAGAAATTTTCACGAAAGGAAGGTAATATCACTTCCAAAATTCCTCAATAACCCCTCAAAATCTCTCCCTCACCCTTAACCTCCCCTCACAGCTCACAGAACCCTTCCCTGCCCCCAAAATCCCCCTTCCAAACCCCCCTCCCAGCAGCAAAAGCCAACAAAACTTAACCTCCCCTCCCCACCCCAATTTCCCCCAAAACCCTTCAAAATCCCTCTCCTCCCACAAAACCCCACCTCCCTCCAACCTCCACCAGTACTCCCCCCTAACCCTTAGAATCCACCAAGACTTCAAATCCAACCTTTTATCCCGATTCGCCAACTGCTCAGCCCTAAACAAACACTTATTCCCCTACAAAAACCCTTCAAAATCCCCCTTCAGCCCTAGATCCCAAGCGGCGAAATTTAAGTCACAGTACAGAAATAAGGCGACTGCAGGTGAATTTTGGACAGGAGGGTTGGGATTTAAGAGTAGGCGGTTTGTGAAGAGTGTTGAGAATTTGACTATGATGTTTGTGTAATGATTGGTGGAGAAGATCAGATTAATGTAAGAGTAGTTTCAATTATTTTTGGGGTTTTGGGGTTTTGGGGTTTTGGGG